GCCTCCTGCGTGCGCCGCGGTCCCGCGCGACCCTGCCGGCCGGGAGCGCGGGGGTCGGGTCCTGGCGCGGGCGGCTTGGAGACTGCCTTGGAAGGGTTCTTGAGTTCTTGTTTTTTCTAATTTATTTTTATTTCTTTAAAGGCTGAACTCCGGGCAGCTGTGTTTTTAGCACTCGAGGAGCAAGAAAAAGTGGAGGTATGAACATTTTTAATTTTAATCTGACCGTGTTCATTAGTGCCTCCTTTCTGCTTAGTTCAGAAACACTTCCGAATACAGTCTGTAGTATTGTGTAGCTGGGAACGATCTGAACTATTACTCTCTATACTGGTTTACTGTTGGAAGAGAGCCGAAATTATTCTTTTTGTGTGTCTTTTTAAATTTTGGAGTAACCTTAAAAATACTACAGTAACCGAGGCCAATGCTAAATCAGAAGCAGAGAGGCTTAGGCGTTAACTTGAAGAAATGGTTTCATTGTCAATGAATTAACAGAGGGGTGCTCAGAATCCTGAATAAGCTCATGTGCAGTGTTCGAGTTTCCCCACAGTTACATGACTATTCCAGTATTCTTAAAACAACACTGTCTTTGTTGTCAGATTGTCAAAAAGTCCAGCCACACCTTTGAATTTATATTGCTAATTTACCTTTTTCTCTTTACCCCAAGTTCCACCAAACATCCTGAATATCCTGTAAGTTGTCAACAAGAATCACTTCATCAGTTTCTAAGCTCTTTCTCAGTGAGTACAGATCAGTCTCTCGTCCTTCCACTTCTTTGACCTCTGTACCTGTTCTTTCATTTCATCAAATCCTCGAGCTTTTTGCTCTTTCCTTGTTTGTCTACATGTCAGTCTTTTGGTTTCTTTTTGTTCTTGCCAGTCCATACCTCAGAACCCTGGGCTGCTTTTCTTTACAGTCATTCTTGGTTTGGAAGAAATCTTAATGTTCATTTCATCCATCGGGCTCCTGTCCTTGTTTCTGCAGAGAAACTGCTAAAGAAGAGTCAGGTACCCACATGAATTGGTACAGTTACAACTTCGTGGATTCCGGTTCACTGTGGTCTTCTCCCACATCTGTCTCCTTCACCCTGGACCTGATCCTATCCAGGTTCTAAGTTTTTGTCCTCCTTCTCCTGCCCGACTCTCCTTCACTTCAGGAAAAGCTTACCTGTATGTTTTTCCTTCCTGCTTTGGTGGAAGAGGCTCCATCTTGTCTAAATGTAAGCTTGTCTAAGCTCTTGTCTTTTTTTCTTTTTGCCTGTACTGCTTGGTTTCTTTAACACAGTCCTACCTAAACTCTTGGTGCCCTATTCTGTGTTCTTTCCCTGGTTACCTTACTTTGCCTCTTATCTTTTTAGTTGCTATCTTTGACTTTTCCCTTTTTGTTGGTTCTTCTCTTGAGCATGAAAATGTGTTTTAATTTCTCTTAAAATTGTTTTCCTCTGTCCTACCATTGTTTTCCTTTCTATTTTTTCCCTCTCACAGCCAAGTTTGGAAAGAATGTGTATGTTTTACACTATTTGTACTTACGTTTTATATCATTTCTTATGTGCCAAACATCCCTTAATCCACTAAAATTTTAAATCCACCACTACTACATCAAAGGAATTTCTCCTTCCTTTTTGAAAATCTCCCTTGACTTTTTAAGATTTTTTTAGATATTTTTTCCTTTTGCCTACACTCCTTGGTTTCTTTAACACTATCTTTTTTCTGTATTTGTACCTAAACTCTTGGTACCTATTTTACATTCTTTCCCTGGTGACCTTAATGCCTTCAGTAACTTCAGCCCTATTCCTCCTGAACTTCACATGTTACACTGCATCATAGACTACACTTTCTGGGACAGTCAGGCAAGAAATCCAGGCATTTTCTAGGCCTAGCTCTTTTTTTTCTCCCTGCTCAGTTGTTACCTGACTGTGTCCAGCAGGTCTCTGAAGGTCTTTTGCTGCCTGTTTGCCTGTATTTTCCAGAGTGCTATATCCCTTTCCTACTCTCTGGTCTTTTCTTCCCTGGTGCCCTCACTGTCTACCTCAAGTCCTTTCTCTACATTATTCTTAAATTGGCTGTTTACCTGTCTAATTATGGCCTTTCATTTTCTTTGAATATATCAATTATTCAATGTCTTAAAATTTCCTAAACTAACTTACCAGGGAACTTGGTGATCTTTTCTTTCCTTGTCTTTTATTGTAACAATTAGATATGCAGTTTATCTACAGAAAGGTCAACATATTTAAAATATGGGCAGCTTGATAAGCTTGAACATATATGCAACTGAAATGATCACAACAATCAAGGTAGTGAATGTAACTCTAACCCCTAAAATTTTTCTTGTCTGAAGGTAACATTCCCTACCTCTTAGCATCCTGAACATTTTTAAGAGCCAAACAGAGAGGATCCTATAGTATGTACTTTTGTGATTATTCATCATAATGTATTTGAAATTTATAATGTGTCTACTAAGTCATTCCATTTAATCCTGAGTTTAGGATTAACAGATCATTCTGTTAATCTATATGATACATATCTGACACCTCGTTTAGCTTTTCCCTATTGATGCACTTACCTGGGTTTCTAGTTTTTGATTATTATAATTAAGGCTGCTGTGAACATTTCATATGTAAGTCTTTGCTTGATTCTGTGAATCTGTGATTCCTCTTGTGAAAATTCCTATAGGTAGAACTACTGAGTCACATGCTAGAGATGTTTTGAACTTTTAAAAAAAAAACCACCAAACCGCTTTCCAATGCCATTTTGCATTCCCATCAGCAGTGTGTGATGCTGCCCCTATATCAGTAACTCGTGTGGTTGACTTCAGGTTGTCCATTGTGTGCTATTGATACTAGGCTCATTCTCAGCAACAGTTTGATGTGCAAGAATTTTTTTTCTGTATTTTCAATCTATAATTACAAAGGTAAATTGACCTGTAGCCACATAAAATCATCTCATGTATTGCTGATGAACTAGAAATTGCAAGTCTATGTGCTATAAATTGTAGAAGCTTAAGAAGATAAACTGTCAAACTTAATTTATTTGAAATGGATGTTTATAGAAATAAATTTAATTGTGTGACATGAGTATTTAAAGATTGTCTCACTTCAAAGGAATTTAATAAAATATTTAAAAATTAAAAATAAAAGTTCATATGTATAGCTTTATTTTATTAACTTAAAAGTTTTTAAATAGCACATTGCAAGTCCTACAGTAATCAGTAGTTTTAGGATGGATTTTTGTAAAACCATAATTTTTATGAGTGACAATATAGAATATATTCTTGTCAAAAAATTGAACTAAAATGTACAGTTTGTAGTTATTTTTAGGAAAATCACCTGACAGTTAAAATGTTGCATTATTTTTTACAGAACAAAACTCCCTTAGTCAATGAGAGCCTGAAAAAATTTTTAAAAACAAAAGATGGTAAGATGTTCCACTTGTTCTTGTTTTTTAAGTGACTGAATTTTTAAATCTTGTCACAATTACGAAAAATCAGGAATTTTTTAAAAGTCTGCGCTTCTTACAGATCATTTAAAATATTTCACTGTGTAGTGGGAAATATTATAGAATATAATAGTTATAATAATATAGTGTTTTTATTGTACAGAGTGAAACACTGAAATCTATGAAGTGTTATATTGTTTTCCAGACAGTTTCAGACTGATAAAAATGGGGAAATCAGGATTTTCATTAGTTAATTATATTACTCAAAGAGAACAAATTTGTAATTTAAAAACTTTAGAAACTTCTTTTGCCTCATTAATTGTGTCTTATTTCGCAGTGCTAATTAAAAAATTCACAGTTCTTAAAGATTTGCATAGACATCTTTTTCTTGATCTTCACAGGTCGTTTAGTGGCAAGTCTTGTAGCAGAATTTCTTCAGTTTTTTAACCTTGACTTTACCTTGGCTGTTTTTCAACCTGAAACTAGCACAGTAAGAGTAACGATTTTTTCATCTATTCTATGTAACCTTTGCTACAAATGAGTTAATGTTAGTTTGAAAACTAATGAAGTTTGATAATTCAGCATTACTTGCATACTGGTTATTATTTATAGTTTGTTGTTGGTTTTTCTTAAAAACCATCTGAGCTGTCAGGATGGGCACCAGTATTGCTTCTTCATGTAACTTGAATCTTGCTAATAGAGTAGTGTTGTAGAAATACTGTGTTACAGCATTATGCTATAAAAAATAGTTAAAAATTTAAAAATGAACATTAATTTATTAGAAGGCCTCATTGAGTTTAGAGATAACTGTAAATTTCTAAAATATTTTCTTTAATCTTGAGAGACATTGTTTTGTGCACCTATATCGTTTATTTTCTAGTTTCAAGGTCTTGAAGGGCGAGAGAATCTAGCCCGAGATTTAGGTATCATTGAAGCAGAAGGCACTGTGGGTGGACCTTTACTATTAGAAGTGATCAGACGCTGTCAACAGAAAGAGAAAGGGCCTGCCAGTGGGGAAGTAAGTGTAATGCTATGTTATCTTTTTCTATTTTTTATTTATTGTCTACTTAATTTAACGTTGTAGGTAAGTACATATCCATCACGGTTTGCGTAAAAAAGAAGATATTCTTTAAAGATGAGGTGAAATTCATTGAGATTATATAAATGGATCTTTTATTGAATATTGAAATGTATAGATTCTGACACTGTTGTACACCTGTTTTGTTTATTGATCCTCAAAGTGTTAGGTTCAGGAGCCCCTCACTGACTAGCGGTTGCCTTGGACTTGCTACTTAACATTATAAAATCAAGGTACCAGGCTGTACCTCACATGGGTGTTCTGAGGTTCATGTGCATAAGTTAATGCATGTAACAATGGTGCTTGGCCTATAAAGCATTATTAGTTGTTAGTTGCTTTTATTTTTTTTTATTTTCTAGTTTTTTGGTTTTTCTCCGGTACCGGTAACTGAACTCACGACCTTGCGCTTGCCAGGCAGGCGCTTTTGCCGCTGAGCTAAATCCCCAGCCCCAGTTGCTTTTATTATTGGTTAAATACAGAAGGGTTAATGATAAAACTGGTTGACAGTTTTTTTTTTAGCTTAAAGCTTTTTAAAACTAAGATTAAAACTGAGCTATTGATTTTATTTAGTTGCTAGACATTTTCAAACCTTTACTTCATTGATTAGCACTTACTCTTCATACTCGTAAACTTTCTTTTTAAAAATTCTGCTCATGGGATTAACTGATTTATGTGTATACACATCAGCTTTACATGAAGGTACTCTGTTTTGCAGATACGGACACATCTGTGACTGTTCCAGGTATCTAGTTAAGTGTATAGAAGAGCACAGCTAAAGAATATAGGTTAGGGCTACCTATTTATTCTATTTGGAGGAACTCAAGAATATGTTTTCTGTTAGATTCATTAAAAATTAGTTTTTCTATCATTTACTAGTATTCTCTTACTTTGAGAGGAATCCTGCCATTATAAAGAAGTAAAACATTGTAAATTTTAATTACCTTTAAATGTTGAGTGCAGGAAACATAACTAGCTGTGGATTAACGTGCTGAACTCAGTTACTGGTGCTTTTTACGAAAATGACATTTTGAAACCATAAGTGTCAGGTTGCTGGGCCCCACATGCTTTAATGAGACCTTTGATTAATTTTATTAAATAGCTCTTGGCTATAGGTAATTAAAAGCGTTCTCTGGTTTGCTGAGCTCCTTCCTCAGTGAGTCATTGTCATTTCCTTTAGCGTTCTGATTGTCCACATCTTGATCTCTGTTGAGCAGCATCATTTCTTCTTAAGGGTTTGCATCTGTTCACTCTCTTCACTACTGCAGAATCATTTATTTTATTTGTTTTCTTTTTTTTCTTAGTACATGTTTGTAGAACATAGTGATCACATTTCTTGTGGGGAGTTGGTACATGTGCAGACACATCTTAATTTCCTCCCTTCTCCCTTCCTCTTCCTTCCATCTCTTGTCCTGTGCCCTTATGTAAAAGGTGGATCTCGTTGTTTCTGATTATCTGTCTTTTACTCTGCTCTTTATTTTATTTTGAGTTTCTTGAATCTGAGTATGATTTTTTTTTGTAAAATTAGAGGAAGATTAAGAATATTTTCATGAATAAAGAAAAAAAGAACACCAACATTGTATAGTATTTTTAAATGCTAAAATATTATCAAGCCATCATTGGTATATTTGTGTTTTATTTTTAAATGTGTTTTAATTTCAACTGTGATTTTAGGGTGCTTTGGATCTATGTGATGTACATTCTCCACCAAAGTCACCGGAAGGAAAAACAAGTACACAGTCAACCCCTAGTAAGGTGAGTCAGCTGGCATAAACGTGATGTTTGGATTGAGATACCTCAGAGCCTTGCTCCTCTCTACTCTTACTTGTTAACTTTTTGTTATTTTGTAATAAGTACTCTTTAGTTTCTTAAAGGGGCGTCTTTTCCCATCTAAATATGTATTTTTAAAAGTGCTTTTATTGTGGTGGTTTGAATTTTGTGTGGCAGAAAAAAACGCTCTTTAATAGTGGTATTTTAGAATATTTGGACTCATTTGGTACTTTGAACATTTTTGTCTTTCACTAACAAGAAAGTTTATTTTTCATTTGTAAACGCCTACTTTGAGACTTGTAGCTTCCAAGTTAAAAAATTGTTTTAAATATTGTAGGCTTTTAGATAAATGACCCAGTTTGGAATTGTAAACTATGATTTTTTTTTTTAGAGTAATGAGCCATTTAATAGGATTTATAGGAAAATATACTGTGGTTACATTTGTGAATGTGTGTTTATGATTTACTAAAGGTAAGACCTGATTTCAAGTCTATAACATAAAGAACAAAAATGTTGAATTAAGCACTTGAATTAAAGATCAAGGATATATGTATAATATTAGAGGAATGAATGGAGAGATGATTATCAGGAAAACTGTCTCTGGTGACTGGTTAGAGTACAACACGAATTGGTAGTACCAACTCTTGCTGTAAAAGGCTGGGTCTAGGTCATGTCTTAGTCTTTTCAGGCTGTTATAATAAAATACCACAGACTGGGTAGCTAATAATAGATTTGATTCTCACAGTTCTGGAGGCTAAAGATTGTCAAGGTACTAGCTGATTTGGGGCCTAATCAGGTCCCGATTCCTGGTTCATAGATGGTGTCTTCTGTATGTCCTCACATGATAGAAAGGGGCAGGGGAGCTCTCTGGAGAACCTTTTAAAAGTATTTTCTCTATGATATTGATGTGCATTCACCACCAAAGTGGAGATTAAACCCAAGGTCTTTGCACTAAGCTACATCCTAAGTCCTTTTTTATTTTGAGATAGGGTCTCACTGATTGGATACATTATCTTGTCTGGGCTCAATCTTGTAGTCTATCTACTTGACCTCCCAGAGTGTGTCACTATGCTAGGCTTGGAGTCTCTTTTCTAAGGGCTTTAGTCCCATTCATGAGAGTTCTACCCTCTGGACCCAGTCATTTCCTAACAGTAGCACTACCTAATACCATTACTTTAGGGGTTTGGATTTCGATGTGAATTTTAAGGGAACACAAGCATAGTCTTTCATGGGTCAGATTTGTGTACTGTAACTTTTCCTTTGATTTCTTCTCGTTAGGAATAGAGGATACTGTAGAGTACATTCTAGAGATTAGGCTTTGTGTGGGCTTGTGGTACATTTTTTAATCGGGGAAACTTCTGAAGGTTAGTAATTATACTACTGCATAGTTTTCTTAAATGTCTGGGCACAGAACACTGCTGAATGATGGCTCTTGTTATTTTATTTGTTTTTTGCTTGTTCTGTGATGGTACTCTTTTTTTTAAAGTGTAGAATTACAAATAAAATTATACTTTTTCTAGCCCCTGATAGTGCTCATAATGTTACTTTCTTCTGAGATTTCTGTTTAGCCTATTCTAATAGGGAAGGTCTTTTTGAAAATATTTTTCCCTTGATGCTATGGGAGGTTGTATCCCTAGTGATGGTACAGGTCAGAGTAAATTTTAAAATTTAATTGCTGATAAAGCCTGGGAAGGGAGGAAGTAGAATGTATTTTCCATGAAAATATCTGACATTAGATGTTAAAATTAATGACTCTTGGGGGCTGGGAATTTAGCTCAGCGGCACAGCGCCTGCCTGGCAAGCGCAAGGTCGTGAGTTCGATTCCCGGTACCAGGAAAAAAAAAAAGCAAAGTGAAATTAATGACTCTTCCAAAATACTTAGCAATACTTGTGATATTGTGTTATTTGGAAGTTTTTTTAGCAAATTATTTTTTAAAAAAACAAATTAGTCACAATAACCTTCTGTGTAAGATATTACCTTCAAGAAAAGAGTTAAAAGTCTGTTTTACATCTCCTTAGTCTTTCTATGTAAATAATTTTTTTTTTTAAGATCTAGGAGTTATGATAAGAATCTTACGTGTTCTGAGTCAGTTAGGAAATGATGCTCTGAATTCTTAGAAGAATCTTTAAGGCTTTAAGGTTTAGAGGACAGTATTTGTCCTCCAGAGGGCATTGTACTTCTGCACCTTTCAGTTATTTTCGGTGTAGTCTGGTTCTTAGTATGCACCATAAACTGAAGTTGCAGTGTCCCCTTTGGAAATACCCTAGATAACTTGGTGGCTGGGCTGGAGTAGGATCTATTTTAATATAAATCTTTGTTTGGAGACTTGAAGTACAATTCTCATGTAGTCCTTAAGGATTTGGACTTGGGATTCCATTACTTTCCCCACCCTCTCTGTGGTTCCTCATTGTCCTTGAGAGTGCACAAGAGTGTGAAGGACTCAGAAAAGCTGTGGCCAAGGGGAGGGCCTAGCCCACCATTTAGAAACCAGCTTTGTGTGCTCCTGAGGCAGGCCAGGTAAGGTTGGAACAAGTCTTCAACAAAGCTGCTCAGGTGCTCCATCCAGGCTTATTTCGAACTCTCCCCAACAGTGTGAGAGAACCCTTTCTCCATGCACTGTGGCTTAAGCGAGTGACTCATGGGTGTCTGCACTTGACTCAGTACCTATTGGAAACAGGTCTTAACGTTAGTTCTTATATTTTAGAAACAGAATAAAGAAAAGACAAGAAAAGTAGGCTTCAGTAGGAACGTGCTAAATAGATTTTTCCACTTGTAATACGTTTTCTAATGGGAAATTTTTATTAGTTTGGTAATGAGTTAGTTTACTTTTAAGGATTTATATTTTGTAGTAAAATGTCATTTTATTCTCATGCTCAGATACCAAGGTATAAAGGACAAGGTAAGAAGAAGACAAGCGTGCAGAAGTCTGGTGACAAGGTAACATGCATGAGGGCAGAGGAGAAAAGCAGCCTGTGCCAGGGCAGACCCCTCAGTTCCTGGGCCTCCTGCTGGCCTGGGACTTAGGTTTCCTTCTGAAATGTCCATGTAATCTGTCTATAGTCAGAACATGAGAAAGCCATGCTGGCACAAAACATAAAACAGTAATTGGTCAGTTTTATCCAGGTGAAAACCATATTGTTATATTGTAAAATTATGCTTTTAGTTGAACTGGCAATAAAAAAGGCTTGAAAATATTTGTTTTCCCTTTGAATGGATGATCATGTACCTGTTGTCAATATTATGGTTTTTATCTGAAGAAAACTGGACCTCAGATTACTTTCTTGGGCAAGTTTTGATTGATGAAAGACTACACCTACTTCCCTTGAAGACGTTTGTATTTGTGTTCTGCCGTTCTCCAGACTGTTGAACCTCCCTCGGCCCTTGCTCAGGCCCTTCCTCACAGCAGACTGGAAGGGCCAGCGCTGCACAGTGGTCACGGCTGTGGCTGCTTTTTCTTCCTCCCTTAAAGGTTACAAAAATAATCTAAGCCAGTAGATTAGCCGCTTATGAAATTTAACTGTTAGAGGTCTACTTAGAATAAGACAGAATAATTTAATTTTCAATTCTCTTGAAATTCACTAATTCTGTGTTCAATCTTGGCATATATATTTTCCACTAAGTAGAACACTTCCAAAATTAAAAGGTTTTAAAAGACTGTTTGCTGCTTAACTGACTTTAGTTCCCATGGTTTCAAAGGTAAATTCTATGACTGTATTCTCTTTTTGTTCACACTGTTCTTTATACATTATTAGACGAGAAGATGTTGTATTACCCAGTAAATATTTTTGGAACATTTACACAGTGGAAGTCATTGTGTTAATGCTGTAGGCAAGACGTATTTAATATAGTCCTCACTTAAGCAGTTCACAGTCTGACTGAAGAGGCGAGACAACATTAAGGAAGTAAATAAGAATCTAAAATTCCTTTTAGATTCTTTTAATCAACATTTTAGGAATTTTTTTGAATGTTAAAATGCATTTCATTGTATTAAGTTTTTGACATTACTGGTATGGTAGCCTTTAAATGGAAGAAATTTATATATAAAACCAAAGCATACTAAGAAGAGTGGTTTTCACCTTGTGTAATGTGGTGTGGTGGGTCCAGACTTTCACTTGGGCAGCACCTCACATATCTCCCTAGCTTGGGGGATAGGGTGGTTTAAGAATCTGGAGAGGTCCCTGTCCCAGAGATCAGGCTATAAGTTGGGGATCCCTTGTGTTTCACTGTTGTGTACCGGAGCCCAGGGTACTTCCTCAATCACTTTGAAAAATTTTTTCCTCTACTTTCCTGATCTTGTTTCTGAATTGCTTTTTAAAGAAATCTATATTGTAGCCATCATCACCTCTTTCCAGCCTTACCTTACCTCTTCATCCTTCTGCTTTTCTGCTTTGCCTTCTGCATTGCTGTAGGTTCCCAGCATTCTGAACATCCTTAACATTGTTATTCAATTGCCAAGTTACATGTGGCGGTTGAAGTTGTACCCATCAAGACTCCAGAGGGAGGTGTTATGTGCAGATGTGGGAGCCCCACCTTTCTGTCCTGCACATGTAGACTGGCCAAGCTGCCCCAGGGTGTATAGTGTTGGGCGTTGAATGGAAGCAGGATGGCCCAGGGTGATGCTCGGAGTTCTGGAGCCCTGAGCCAGCCACGTGGATGTGTCTTCCTGCCTTTGAATATAGGAAGGAACAAGTGTTAATGGCTTACTCAGAGACTGCTGGCAGTTTCAACAACACTGTAGTTGTACTAGAAATAAACTTTAAAAAGTCATTTATAGAATGTGAGTATATGTATGTATGTAAATATATATATATGTGTGAGAGACACAAAACTCATAAAACTGATTTGTAAGATATTTGAACTAATTTAACTTGGGTAAAATTAAAAGGTCTTGCTTCACTTAAAGCCCAGAGACAAAGAGTAGATAGATGATTGGGAATATAAGGAAAATAAATATTACATGAGATCACAAGTTTGAGACCACCCTGGGGCTGCATAATGAATTCAAGGCCACCCTGAACTACATATCCAGAACTTGTCTCAGAAACAAACAAAAAAACAAATTTGGAAATACATATGAAAATTTACTTCCAAAGTACTTTATCACCTAAGGGCCCCAATCAACCTCCAGTGTCACTGCCTGCCCTGCCCTGCACCTCTACCCCATACAGTCCTGGGTAAGTGGGCTGGTGGGAAGGTGGATGTTCTGGCGCTGGTAGTCCAGCCGGTGCAACTCCGAGGCCCTGCCTCAGCCTGTAGGCTAGATCTCTTAGCCTGCTGTCAGCTGAGGCTTTCAGCTGTGATGGGTGGGGAAGAGGGCAGAAGGGTGGGTGGGACTCACAGGGTTTATTACCCAAGGACTAGGGCTTTGGAACCTCTGTGGGAATTAGATTGTTGATAGATTGTAGGGGGAGAGTGTATCTGTAGACACTGTGCTTTTAGAGAGATTTAAATGTTTTGGGGTTGTAGATTTCCATAGTATTTGGTTTTCTAGGTGGAGTGAAACTAGGGCCTTCACACTGAGCTGCATCTGGGGCCGTTTTTGAGACAGGATTGCTAAGTTGCCCAGGCTGGGCTTGAACTTGTGATTCTCCAGGCTCAGCCTCCTAGAGTACTGAGATTATGGGGATGTGCCACCACATCAGGTACAAATTAAACTTTTTAAATATGTGTAACTGTTGCGACCATAGGAAAGGTACTTGTCTTAGTATTTCAATAGTTAATCATGGATCAGAACTACCTTTGGCAGTGTGAGGGAAGGAGGCTGAGGCATGAGTGGGGAAGAGAATAAAGCAGTGCACAGAGCTTTTGGATACTGTTGTACACCTAAAGAATGTGTTTGACTTTGATATTTTTCCTGTTATGGATGGGGCAGATTAGCTTTTACTTTGGAAAACCATTCTTTTATCCAGGTCCTTAAAGTCATCCTAGTGATAACATAATTTTGGGCTACTGCAAAATTAGTAGTGCTTTTTTTTACTATAAAAGTTATCTCTGATGCTGATAATAAATTTTAAAATGATTAAATTCTTGATTATGTAAGTGTTCTTTTGGAAAACTAAGTACTTAGTTAAACTTTCATAAGACTTGACTATGATTTACCAGAAAGTTTATGAGTCTTGAGTTCTATCCAAGCGAATTGAGTGGCTGTTGTAGTCCTGTGCAGTAGATCTGTCACATTTATGAAAAGACAAAGCAAGTAGTTATTAGAAATGTCTATTCATTTCCTGAGGTTGGTATAATAAAGTAGAAGTTGAGAGACTTAAAATAACAGAAATCTGTTATTTCACAGTTTGGATACTGAGAACTTGAATCAAGAGTGTCAGCAGGGCCTTGCCTTCTGTCTTGGCTTCTAAGGCTGCCTGCAAATGTAGATGTTCTCGACTGGGTAGATAGCTCCAGGCTCTGCTTCCATCTTTACATGGTGGCTCTCTGTGTTTCTGTTTCTTCTCTGGTTTTTGAGGGCAGAGGGCTTTGGGCACGCTAAGCACACGTGACCTGCAACCTAGTCCTCCTCTTTTCTAAGCATACTGGTCATCCTGGCTTAGGGCCCACCCTACTCCAATATGGTCACATTTTAATACCTCTACAGTGATGCTTTTTCCATGTGTGGTGTATACTTTGATGTACTAGGAGTTACAACTTCAACAAATCTCTTCTGGGTGAGAGATTATACTCCTTAGCAACCTCTGAGGTTGTCCAAGGAATGAATCCTAAGGCATTAAATTGTATTTCTTGGTTTTGAGCAATATATGTAATGTTAGTGATTTTACTTCATTTTGAATCATAACTTTAGTTTGCTCAAATTTAAGTGATAAGAAACCCAAGTAAATGGAGTTGATGTATTAACATAAAGGCTTGTCCTATGGCATGATACAGGTTTTTAAACAGATTCTAGCACATACATATGTGTATGTAGATTTTCCCCATTGAAATTACTCCAGAATTTTTACGGTACTTTTGGTTTAATCTCTGTGGAGTGTTTTGATGGTAAATGTTTCTGTTTTATTGCACATTTTTCTAATAATAAAAATTATTTGTAGTTAAATTTAATGGGTTCATTGTTAACACAATTGGTTAATGACTTTTTGGTGTAAATAGGCCATAGTTATAAAGTACATGTCCAAGTGTTTTAGAAATTTATTTTGAGAGCAGTTGTAAAGCAAATTGTTTTTAAGGTGTTTTTATTCCACAGAAAAAAGAACCGTATGTTGAGAACAAAATAGTTATATTATTTTAAAGAATATGTATTGCTGTAACATAATGTCCTCCATGAAATTTGTCTTTCAAAACTGGTCCTTCTACTCTTAGCAGGGATACTGCTAAAACCAGTCAAAAAATAATCGTAGATACATAATAGTTAAACTTAATTGTAGCTAGTTCATAATGTAGACTAAGATCGTGTTGATAATGTGAATTGTGGGGAAGACTGAATACTGGAATGATTAGTGTTTCCTGTGGTGTTGCTTTATGCTCCCATTGAGATGCTTCATGCCAGCTCCCATTTGGAACTTTCTCAGGAATGTTCTGAAGGACAGTTACTCTCTCTGTCTGTAATTATACTGCAGGACTTCAGGGCATTTATTTTTAATGCCTTTGCAAAAGTAGAAATCCGTTATTGCAATATTTATAATTCAGAAATTATAACTGAAACAAACCTAATTAAGAAACAGAAGTTCATGATACTTTTCCATATTTGATAACACAGGAAAACTTGAAGAAAGTTACTAGGCTATTTAAAAAATTTTCTTCTTTGAGAATATCCTATATTGTCTAAAAGGGTAACTTGGTATATATTTTTCCAGATATTTCTTTATGGTCATTAATTTATCCATATTAATAATAAATATATGGACAAGATAGTTCTGTGGAAGGCTCTAAAATCTGTATAGCTTGTATCTTACCTCTGTCCTAGTCCAGGCTTCTGAGGAGTATAAAGATGTCAATATGTATCTTCTACAGTAAGCCCTGTGAGTGCTGTCTGTATATAGGGAAAGCATAACAGTCCCCGGAGTGTCTTGTGCATTATTTCTAACCCGTACTCTACCACCTTGCCTCAGTAGTACTACATTTAACTGTTCCTTTGCTGCCCATCTGTTCTCTCTCAGGTCCTAGTTATGATTTGTTTTTAAAAATATTAACCCAGTTTGAATTTTTGAGGGAAAGTCATGCTTACGAAAATTATTGAAAATTGTACAGTTAATAGTCAAGTGCTAACTGTATTCTCTTTATTTCAGGTTAGTGTGTTTATAGGGGTCATACTAAAGATATGACAGTCTGAATCTTGGGAATTGCAGTTTTTAGTCCACATAAAATATGGTTTTGTATAATTCAACCTAATCTTAAAACTATATAAATATTAAGGGCTAACCTCTGGAATGAGGCCCTGATTTTTTGTTGATTTTACCATTTAATTACATGGGGATTTTCACAAATGACATAAATTGTCTCTGTGTTTCCTTTTTCATATCCACAGGAAAAAGTAGACCCACCACCTATGCTGAAGGCTCTTTTTTTTGTCTCTTTGAGACAGGGTCTTGCTATGCAGTTTAGGCCGGCTTTGAGCTCACTTTGTAGCCCAGGCTGGTCCTTGAACTCGTAACGATCCTCCTGCCTCAGCCTCCTGAGTGCGGGGATTACAGGTGTGCACCACCACACCAGCCTTGAAGGCTTATTTTTAAAATTAAATAGAGCATCATATGTGAAGCATTTGAGTGCTCTCCATATTAACTGCTGCTATTATTTTAGCAGTTTTTATTGTTGCTCTTGATGTACACGTCTAAGAGCAAAAGAGATATCTGACCATTCAAAAATAGAATTAGGCCCTGATAGTTATGACTAACTGGAAACAAGAAAATACAGTATGCTATTGTGTGCAAACTTCACCATATTTCAGTAGGCTTGAGAATTTCTTTTTACCTTGGTTAAAGAAATGCAGAGATATAAATACCTGCCTGTGGACACTGTGTGAGGTGCAGGTTGGTGAGCTGTTCTGGAAGTCTGAATTAAGACCATTATAACCAGATGCTACAGTAGAAAGGCAAGCATTTGACAGCAGTGTGTTTCACCTCCGTGGCTGTTGTATTTGGCACTGATTGGGAAATTGCTCTTTTTTTCTGATAAATAATGTTTGGTGCACTTATGTGACATAGTCTGCCTTTTCTCTTTTAATTTCTATTAAAAATGCATTGATTTAAGATATTTTATGAAGAAATGGTATACATACGGGAGAAAATGGAAAAGTTACTTATAAATGAGGAAATTGTTTATGGGTAGGGTAGACCTAGTAAAGATATTTCTATTTAAGGACAAAAGAAAGAAATGGGTAACCATTATTTCTCTAACAAATTTTCCCTTCTAAAGTTAGCCATGCTAGGAAGCTGGGGATTGAAGTGGTAAATCATGGGGTTACGCTACAGTTCACTTTTGCAAGGTGATGTACACCCACATGCACAGATTTGCCTGTGTTCACTCAACTTCTTTATTATTTAAAACATCTTCAAGTTTTCTCACCAAGAACTGTTCTCTCTCCCTCTTTGTAGAAGGCCAACAGTGAGACCAGTCAGAGTGATACAGCTGTCTCCTCATCAGAATCAAAGAACAAAAGCAGTCTGCACTCACTGACCCATGAAACAAAAATTGGATCTTTTTTAAGCTCTACCACTTTAGATGTCAAAGACAAAGCTGGCCTTTGTCCAGGTGAAGATGATATGGAAGGAGATTCTTTCTTTGATGATCCCATTCCTAAACCAGAAAAAACCTATGGTTGGTGAGTAGACTGTTCTTGGACAGTCAGACTAGAGGTTTAAAAATACAACTTCTGTTTTCATTTTGTATGTAAAAAGTAATGACTTACTGGTTCTGTATTGAATCCGTAGGTCTGGTTTTGTGTCATTAAGCCCTGTTAGGTTGTAAAACAGTTTCAGGTTTTTAAGTAAACCTGGTGTGACTCATGTCACCAGATAAGTCTGTAATATATGCCTGCCATGTACCAGGGACAGACTGCCACAGTGACAGAAGGGCAAAGCTGCCATCAGGAAGCTTACCTCAGGACGAAGTCAGAAAGTCAATGAGAATGACACTACAGTGTTCTAGAAGATGAGAGCAGGGCCCTGACACAAAACAAGCGCTTGTGGGGTCGCATGTGTTTCAGCAGCGTGTCCAGGAAAGCCTCACTTGGGGTGCTGCTTCATTGTGGGGGATGCTATCTGAGCTAAGAACTCCAGAGGCAAGAGTAAGCCATACAGCATCTGGGTTTTCTGGGCTCCCCAAAGAGGAGACCACAAATGTGAAGTTATCTTACAGGCCATACGACAGTGAGCAAGTGTGAGAGGGCTTCTGTGAGATGAACCCAGAGATGAGGGCAGGATTCCACAGGGTGAAACTGCAAGCTGTGGGTGTCTTTTGTATCCAGCATGTGACAGAAGGATCCCTGCTGCTGAGTTAGGTGGATGCAGAGTTTCTAGATAGGAGACTCTTAGACTTATTAAGGGGAGATAGTGGTGACAGTGATGAGAAATAGGTGGTTTTTGGAAATATCTTGAGGTCCCACAGAGCAAAATAATATCCAGGGTGGCTCCTGGGTTCTTAGTCTAAATAACTGGAAGGCTAAGATGAAGAGTGGGAAGATAAGGTAGTATGAAAGCCTAGACATGTTACGTGTGAGAAGACTTGGTGGGTTGTGTGTTAGGCTATTGGATCAGGGAATTAAAGAGTAGTCTGGGCTGGAGAAATGAACAAAGGAATCATTAGTTATCAGTACCATTACAGCTAGGAGACAAGGAGATCATGAAACTGGGCCTTGTAGCACCTTGAGCTGAGCAAGGTGAGCAGGAAGGAGGAAGGAATCAGAACCAGGAGATGTCGTGACCTTGCAGGAGGTGGCAAGAAGGAGCAGCTGTTTAACATCTGAAAGTTTGCTGCTGGATTTAGCTACATTGCGGTCACTAATGATTTTGACAGTCAGTTTTGTTGGAATGTAGTAGGAGCAATTAAAGGATTAGAGTGGGTTCAAGAAGATGTGAGAGGTAAGGGTTGTAAATGATAAATGATTTTCTGATGAGTTATACAGGGGTACACAGGATTAAGGTAGTGGCTGGAGGCATAGGTTATGGGTGTATAACTTGTGAAAGTGAAAGCAGTAACGTGTGTTGCTGATGAGAAGGATCTGGTTTCAAAGGTGGGAGAATGTAAGGCCTGAGGATGGAATTCCTGGGCTGATAGAATTCACTACCCAGGGGACTTGTCTTTGCCAGAAGAGTAAAGAGCTGGACCCTTCGTAGTCAGGAGTGGACCAGATAGTTGCACCCAGTACACTTGTATGAGTTTCCTGTGAGTAAGAATGGAGGGGGAGTGATGGAGATTTGAGTAGAGAAGGTAAAGTGATTGTAGAAGACAGTGAAGAGAAGCCAGGCATGGTGGTACAGTCCTGTAATCCCATGCTGGGAGGTTGAGGTAGGATGATCCCAAGTTTGAGCCCAGCCTGGGCAATTTGGTGAGACCCTGTCTCAATAAAAAAGAAAAACAGTGAAAGAGAGGGGTAGGAATGTAGCTTAGTGACAAGGCTTTAGGTTTAATCCCTAGTGCTACAGAAAAGAAAGTAAAGAGAGACTGGACTGTAGAGTGTGTAGGGTTGTAGGGCAGTGATAACCATTTCCTAGAGGTTGGTGCTCATGACTTGAAGAGGCTTTGTGGCTTCCTAAACAGTACTTAACAAGTGTGTCTAGCACGTAGTGCTTATTTGCTAGTTGACTCCCATATTGTCCCTTGATTGTGTTTTGGGGTAATGAATAAGGGCTGCTCAAAGAAATCATGGACAGGGAGTATGTTAAGCAAGGTCAACTTAACTTGTAAGATATGAAACAGTGTGAAGAGGCAGGCTGATTTCTTGACAAACTTTACTGCATGGATTTGTGATAATTGATTGTCTACATTGCCTTACAGGTATACTTTTTGATTTTGAACCTATAAAATGTGTGTTCCATGTTTCTGGCCACTGTGTTTAGTGGCAGGATCTAAGATTACCATTTAATTGTCACTTGCTTCCTGTTAGGAGAAGTGAACCTAGGAAGCAAGCAGGAAGTCTGGCCTCGCTCTCAGATGCTCCCCCCTTAAGGAGTGGACTCACTTCCCTGGCAGGAGCCCCCTCATTAAAAGAGCCTGAGAGTAAGTGCCTGAAGATGGTGGCCTAAGTGTTTGTGGTATTTTTCTCTAAGTAGTATATGATTACTTACTGTTTTCTTTTTTTCCAGGAAAATCATAAGAATAGCCTAGTTTTATTGTTCAGATATTTCTTGTTAATACTTTATATTTCTGTTTAATGTCATAGTCTCTGTCATTTTATGTTTTGCCTTTTCCTGTGCCATTAGAATACTTTTGGGATATTGACTTTTTAGCTGATTTTTATTATCTTTAGATGTATTATACATGTGGTATCCAATTTATGATGGCTTGGCTTAAGGTTTTTCAACTTCATGCATTTTTAATATGCATTCGATAGGCACCATACTTTGAGCTTTGATTTTTCTCCCTGGCTAGTGATATGCATGATCTTCTCTTGTGGTGCTATAGCAGAGAGCAGCACAGCTCCCGATCAGCCATAGGGTCAGGAAGGGAACAAAGAACACTGTAGGTTGCTGTGTTGCTGTGATATTTGGTAGGTTGGGGGTGGTACATCCAGTTTTAATCTGCAATACTTTCAGGTTATGATTGGTATATTGGATGTAAGCTCACTGTAAGTCAAGGAACATCTGTAATTTTTCAATCATCTTTTGAACATTTAAAATGACTTGATTCAGGGTTAAATTCAATTAATTTTTAAAAGTTTGTTCAGTGACACCACAGTAGTTGTTACTGGAATGTTAAACATTTTCCTTTTAGGGACTTGGATCTGATGTGTCTTTTTACATGTAGCAGAGGTAGAGATAGATAGCAAGATGCAGTAGCCAAGCAGCTGTACCATTTGCCTTCTCATTCCTCCCTGACACATGGTGACAGTTCCAAGATTTAAACACAGATATATAATGGGCTCTATATTCCATATCATAGTGAGCATAGCATTTAGTTGGCAGAATGTCTGGAGTATGAGTACCTCTTTTGAAAAAGTTTCCTCAGTTAGCTTCAGTAGGAATTGACAGTATGGTTTTGTCTAATTTTGTGGTACTTCCTAACATTTTTCTGTTATATGTATTGTGTGGCGCAGTGTGGGATTTTCTAGAACACATAACAGGTGGTGTGTTCCCATCTTAGACATTTAGTAGGCCAGGTGTGTGTCCCTTCAGATGGTCCACATGCCTTCTCTCTGTGGTTACGGCCACCCTCAAGGAAGGAATTCAGGATATTGTGGCCATACTCCTGATTAGAGAATGACAATTTAGAGAGGATCATTGAGAACTCAGGACTGAAGAAGTAAAACCATTGAAGAGATCAGTTTGGCAAATGAAATTGGTGATTGAATTGTAGCAAAGTGTAGAAGTTCAAAGGAAGAATAAAATTGGGGAAAAACAGTTATATTCTGTGAAGTTATGCCTTCTGAGGCTGTTTATCAAAGGTTCAATAGTTGGGCAAAAAGTTACCTTGATGTTGTGTTCCAAGGGAGAGTGATGTTGTTTGTGATTAAAAAGAGGCTATAATGCATAATTTAAGCACTGCATGATGAGAGTTTGCAAGGTTTTCTTAGTTTTAGGTCAGTATAATGCTGTACTGTCATAAAGTGGCTTAGAGAATGTTGTATTCTAAAAGTTACTTTAATGCTGATTTTTTTTTTTCCTGTTCATAGGTAAAAGGGGAAGCACAGTTTTGAAAGATCTGAAATTAGTCAATGATAAAATTGGATCACTTGGATTAGGTAAATAAATTTCCAGTTTTTAAAGTATTTTCTTTTAGGATCAAATCTTAAGTGAATTGACTCCATGAGCTTACACTGAGCACTATTGTTCACTACTGCTGTTCATTCAGCAGGTACATGGACAGCTTGCATGTGGCAGGGATGGCGCTAGTAGCAATGACCAGGGCAGACTTGTCTTGGGGAATTCAAACTCTAGTAGGGGAGAAAGATGTTGAGAGGAACCTGTGCATGTTTTTTGCAAGTTAGAGGGCCGGAGTCGCTGGGTGTGGAAATGGGTTGCAGTAGCTCAAACAAGGTAGTGAGGAGTTGATAGTGAACTGCTGCTGCTATACTCCATTAGGGCAAAGGGCAGAGTAGTGGTGCATCTGCCCTGTGATGAAATGCTCCTGAGAACATGGAATAAAGACAAGGTATTAACCACAGTCTAGGATGTGGTATGATCACTTATAACAGCTTTGGTCATTTACCTTCATATGCTGTGGTAAAAGTATTTCTGGTCTTTGGTACTTGTCTTTTTTTTTGTTTGTTTTTTTCCTGTACCGGGAATCAAACTCATGACCTTGAGCTTGCCAGGCAGGTGCTGTGCCACTGAGCTAAATCCCAGCCCCGGTACTTGTCTTTTAATGATGCAGTGTAAGTCAGTAATGTATTGTTTTGGCAGGAGATGTGTAATTATGGATATATCAGGAAATATTTTATGTAAATGTAACGTATATTTTCTTAAACCTACCAGGGACTGGAGAAGAAGACTATGTTGATGACTTTAATAGGTAAGAAATTGTTAGGAAAATATTTAAACATACATTTATAAATAATTCTTGTATGCAGGCAGCTGTAAAAAAATTACATTAAGGATTACTTCAGTGTATTTGATTGTTCTGTTTTTACTGATTAAGGTAAATAAAAGATAAACCAAAATTATGTATTTTGGAGCCTGTTGACATACTCTGCTGTGTGACTACTGAGGAGTTGACTCAGAAGACATTTAGGAGCAAGTCTGTTGCCATATCATGAGTGCTCTTTTTATTTCTTTTTTTTTTGTGGTGGGATTGTCTGCATTAAAGAAAATCATCCCTTGCAATTAATTTTCTGATGCAGATGATATATATATAATTTTTTTTGGTGCCAGAAATTGAACTCACAACTTTCTGCTTGCCAGGCAGGCACTTTGCCACTGAGCTATATCCCTGGCCCCAAGTGATATTTCTTATTGTTTTGTGTTAGGCAACTTCCTTATATATGTGAAGATAATCTATGAGTTGCCTGCTAACGTGGAAGTAATATTTGTTGTGGGTATGATTAGAAATTTTAAGTTACATGTCTGGGAATTTTATTTGAGTTTTATTTTCAATTGGAAATTTGTATTTTGGGGTGTGATCTATTATATAGTTGTTTGGAAAGATAATATGATACAGGGGCATTTTAGAAATTTTGTTTCTTTCTTGCTATTGTATTCAAAGTTACCATTGAACCTTAATTTTCTGATCTGCTGTATTGACTTGATTATTGTTGTTGCCCTTGCTAAGTTATTTTAATGGTCAGGTGAGATGATATGAAATTGATGATATTTAATGTATTTTACTCAAAAGGTCTGAACATATGAAGAATATTAGTTATTCTTTTCAGAGATCTTATTTTTCCTCCCTTGTAATTAGTGCCACCCATCGCTCAGAAAAAAGTGAGCTAAGTATTGGTGAAGAGATTGAAGAAGATCTTTCTGTGGGAGTAGATGACATCAACAGCAGTGACAAAGTATGGTGTTACACATTTCTCATAAAATGCCTACTTGTTGATTTACTGTGAAGCTTTTGAAATTTATGCTAATTAATAGAAAAACAGTTGAAAATTGTGAAAATCTATTACAGTTACCTGATTGGTCCCAATCTATGAAGAAAACTTTACTGAATATGTAAAATTGTTTTAGTTGTCACTTATGTTGTACCTGAGTTCTTCTGACATATTGTTGTTTTTTTCTTTTTGGTTTTTTTTTTTTTGGTTTTTTTGTGGTACCAGGAATTGAACTTACGACCTTGTGCTTGCCAGGCAGGCGCTGTGCCGCTGAGCTAAATATCCAGCCCCACTTCGGACATATTGTTATAAGGACACTGGTTTTGCTTTTAGCTTAGGAAGATCATGATCTGGACTGTAGTCCAATTTGCCTGCCCAGGTGTGGTCGGCAGAAGTTGTGTAGAATATGTTTTTGTATGTAGAATATGTAGAATATGTTTTTTTTTATGGTCATCTCAAGGCCAGTGGTAACACTTGAACAAGCAGGGGAGGCCCTGGCTAGAGCTGCAGCAGGCAAGCAACAAAGGTACACTGGGGTCAGGGCTTAAAATCAAGAGTCCATATTTGAGGTCCAGCTTTGACCTTTTCATGCTGCAGAGAAGAAAGCACACTTTGATGACTTGTGACATCTCAGTATCATGTCTCTGTCCACATAAGCAACAGCTCATGTGGCTTACCTTTCATGTCAGGGGCTCCTGCTGCTTTCCTGAATGAGTTGGGCTTACACAGGTGCTGTGATTGTCACACTGGGAGAGCTTTGGAGAGTTCACATTTTAGAATGAAGAAACAGTTGGAGTCAGCATAATGTGAGTGTGCTTTCTTATTCTTTTAGGTATTGTGTGTTCTTAGGCAAGTTTTAACCTTTCATCCTAGCTTCTTTATTTGTAAAATGGAAGTATTAATACCTACCTAATAGGATTATTTTGAAGGCCAAGTGTCTTATTTACTTTTCTCTTGTTGCTGAGACAAAATACCTGACACCCCAAATCAATGACGGAAAGGTTTATTTAGCTCACAGTTTGTGGAAGTTTCAGTCTATAATCAGCTGGCTCCAAGGCAGGGTGGCATGGCACAGGGGTAACACTTCAAGGTGGCAGAAGACAGGAAAAGCTACAAGAGCAAAAAAGGGAGAAAAACCAGGCCTTTTTTCCTCCAGTAGATTGTAAGCAGGCTGCTACCTCTTAGAGCGGGTGTATGTAGCACTCAGACCATATCCATGCCCTCCTCTTGCACAAGATGAGGATGTTTACAAAGTAGGAACTCCGGCTCCCTGCTGAGTGCCTTAGTCAAACTTCTAAACTTCTCAAGTTGACACAATGTATCAACGATTATACCAATAATATGTAAAGTATCTTTATGACATATAGACCTAAGTAACCTTTTACTTTTCACCCTGTGTCATCCATAAAAGGCCTAAAAATGTTGTTTTAAAATTATACCAAAGAGCTGGGTGTGGTAGTGCACGCCTGTAATCCCAGCACTAAGGAGGCTGAGGCAGGAGGATCGTTGCAAGTTCGAGACCAGCCTGGGCTACAATGTGAGCTCAAGGTTAGCTTGCAAGACCCTGTCTCAAAAAGACATAAGTAAATAAATAAATAAATAAATGAAAATAAGTAAATGAAAAGGAAAACAATTTTAAAAAGTTATACCAAAGAAACTATAGAGTATTCAGCCATTTTCTTGATGGAGTTAATGTAGAGCTCAGCTGTTAACGCAACCTTTTAGTATTTTCGCATAGTCAGGGTGAGGATAACAATGTGAGGTAGAGGACGTTGGAGTAAACTGTTGCTGAGCCATAGTTTGTGAGTTGGAGTAGGGAGAGGAGATTATAAACACTGGGTCTAGTACATAAGTACTGTCTAAGAATTCTCATCTGTAGGCATAACTTCATATAATCGTGCCATTCATTAGCAGCCTTTTTATAAGGAGTAGACATCTGATGGTTGTACTTCATTAGGTGGCATTTTTAAAAGACTGAAGAGAATAACAGGCACATGCGGAATCAAAAATATTCACGTTTTGCGGTAGTGGAGGCTTTAGCCAAGGTGATCCAGAGCAGTGTCTGTTGTGCACATAGTGGCGCTATTTAGAGAGCATGATGCTGGGAATGTGGGCTGTGAGAAGGGAGGTAGGCCTGTGGAGCAGCCATGATTGCAAGTGCAGCAGGTCTGGATTGGAGTCCTGGAGCTGCCCCTTTACTTGGAAATTAGGGCAAATTATTTAACTTTTGGGTCTTAACCTTCTCATGTCTTTTGCAAGTAAGTGGTCGTTGTAAGTGTTAGTGAGTAGTGTGTAAGGCATACAGCTCAGTACTTAGCAGAATACGCATTCAGTAAATGGCAGCTGTAGCTCTTACCTCTCCTATAGCCATAAATCAAATAATAGACTGCTTGCCTTAAATTGACCTAGGATCCGGGAGAAAAGTTGCATACATAATATATAAAAACGCAAGGTAGGGCCAAGTGTAGAGGCACACACTTATAATTTCAGCACTCAGGAGGCTGAGGCAGGAGGATCGCTGTGAGTTTGAGGCCAGCCTGAACTACGTAGCAAGACTTGGCTTAAAAACAAACAACAACAACAAAAGTCAACCTAAGAAGTGACAAGTACTGTAAAATGCTGTGAGAACTCGGAAGGAGGAACATTCGAGGTGGATTTTGAAAGATGACTCATCTGGATGTGTGTTGTGGGGAGCAGCATGGTGAACACCACAGGGCTGTGACAAAGGGTGTGCATTTTTGACGCCCCGGTTCCCGTGGAGGCACTGTGTGAAGAGATGTACTGTGGTGGGAAGAGCAAGGTTCTTGAAAGCTGGGTTTGGGCCCAGAATGACAGAGAATGAACAGGAGCAAAGGCCTGGGGAGGGGGGTGTGCACAGGAGCCAGAAGGAGGCCCAAAGGCACAGGTGGATGGTAAGGGAACAGGCGTGCTCTCCTGGGGTGTAGCAAACACATGGGCATTGATACTTTCGAAGCTTTTCAGAGACTTGTGAAGAGCTCTTTGCTGTACATTTGTGTTAAGCTTCTATCACAGAAATCTACTATTTCATTTTTAGGGCTCAAAACATGTTTTTATATATTTTTATTTTATGACATGAAGAATCTGTTTTGATAGTTTTGAACTAAAATCATTTCTAATTCTAAAATTAATGAAATATGAAAGACTTTCTATTAAATAGCCATTTGTGCCTAGTTAGCTTTGTTTATGCAGTTTCCTTTCTTCATAACTATTTCAGGCTGTTTTCCCCTAGAAATTTTTGGTTGTTAACTGTAGTCTTTTTGTTTTTTAATTTAAATTTACTTTTAAATTAAATATATAAAACATATGTGGTGCCATGTGATTGATGTTTTTTTCATTGCTGGGGGGTCAAACCCAGGACCTTGCACACTCTTGGCAAATACTGTACCCTTGAGCTATGCCCTCAGCTTGTGATTTTTTGATACATGTATACATTGTATAATATTTAAATCAGGTTCAACTTACCCCCCCATTTATATTTCTTTATGATAGAAACATTCAAACTCCTTCCTCATAGCTTTTGAAATACATAGAACGTTGTCATCCTCTGTACTTACTATACTGTGCAGTAGTAGCCCAGCAGAACTTTTTTCTACCATCTAACCGTAACTTAGTACCTTTTGACCAGCCCCTCATATCTCCCTTCCTTGCTGTTCTCCAGCCTCTGGTAACCACTGTTCAGCTCTCAGCTTTTGTGAGAGCAACTTGTTTAGGTTCTGCATGTGAGTGAAGTGGTAAGGTACTTGTCTTTCTGTACCTGGTTCATTTTGCTTAGCGTAATGATCTCAGGTTCTATCCATGTTGTTAAAATGACAGCATTTTGTTCTTTTTTCTTTTAGTAGCCGAGTAGTATTGCATTTGTATATAGTCTACATTTTCTTTACCCACTTATCAGCTAGTGAGCACTTAGGTTTTTTCTGTTTCTTGGCTATTGTGAATATTGCTGCAATAAAACAGAAGTGCAGATGTCTCTTTGACATACTGATTTTACTTCCTTTGGATATATACCCAGGAGGGAGGTTGCTGGATCCTATGGTTATTCTGTTGTTCATTTTGGAACAGAACCTCCATGGTGCTTTCCACAGTGGCTCTACCCATCGGTATTACCATCAGCAGTGTGCAAGGGCTCCCTTTTCCCAACACGCTGGCCAGTACTTGTTACCTCACGTCTTTTGGATCATGACCCATGTTACTGGAGTGAGGTGATTCTCATCGTGGTTTTGATTTGCATTTCCATGGTGATTGTTAATATTGAACATTTTTTCCTATCCTTTTTGGTCATTTGTGTGTTTTCTTTTGAGAAATGCATATTTAGGTTTGTCACTTATTTTTAAATAGGCTTTTTGTTGCTATTGAATTTTTCTGTTACGGCAAACTCAGCTTTGCCGTTTTATTGAGAAAATGGAATGGCCAGAGGTGCTATGTAAGACACGTGGGTGTGCCTGTGTCTTGTGTTCCAGCCAGGATAAGGTGGCCAGTTTACTCAAAGAGAGCAAAATTGGCTTACTTCTCTTACTAGAAGAGGCTGAAAGTTTGAACTTTGTTACTCCTTATCCGTCAGTGCCACCATCCTGTATATTTTCTCTACTTGGGAGCTTAAGTCTTGATACTTAGTTTTCTCCTTACTTTAGTAGCAGTGGTTTTTTTTTGGCCCCATTATCCTTATTTATCTACTTGCTTTTTCTATCATTTTAAGAAGTTCATAGAAATGAAGTGCTTTGGCTGATAGATATTAGTGTTCTAGTTATTTGTAGTGTAAACAGAAACAGGACTCACTCATATCTGTAACACTAGTGGGCCCAGGGCTCAGCCTGCAACTGCAAGGGCTGCCTCTTCTGCTCAGCTGTTTCGTGTCAGCATCCAAGAGGCTGACCATGCCAGCTTCATGGATGTGGTGTGAAGGATATCATGCCATGCTTTCAGTTTGATGTTATGAATGTAATATTTTATAGTATCATATAAAGTAGAGGAAATGTCTTTCAAATAAAATACTGGACATTTTAATTAATTTCAATAAATTCAATGTCAGTAAATACCATTTTAGAGAGTTGATGATCCATAGAGACATATTTGCTGTGATCAGAATCACATGTTGAAATTGTGCTCATGTAAGGAAGCTTTTTATAAAGTTTCTCCCAAATTTCAGTTTCTTTTTATTTTCTTGGCTTTTTGAGACAGGGTCTCGATGCAGTTCAGGCTGGTCTTGAGCTCACTTTGTACCCCAGGCTGGTCTTGATCTCGCAATGATCCTCCTGCCTTATTAGCCTCCCAAGTACTGGGATTACAGGCATGTGCCACCACGCCTGGCTACAAATTTCAGTTTCTTAGATTAAATTGAAATGGAAAGTTGTTGCTTTATTTTCAGTTTTTACTTGTAGTATTTGAGAATGTAATCAGGTCAGGCATTGAACTCAGAAGGCTGACTGATTTTTTAACCATAGGCTTTTGAGCAAATCATTCCTCAACACTTCAGGTTTTCCACCTATTTTGTGAGTTTTAAATAACCAATCATGGAGTATAAAATATTTAAATTATATAAGTAGCAATAAATTTTAAAAATTATTTCAGACTCTACTTGCATTCTGACACTAATTATTTTCTTTCTTTTGAACAATAAAGCTTGATGACCTCACGCAAGACCTCACTGTTTCCCAGCTCAGTGACATTGCGGATTATCTGGAAGATGTGGCGTAGACAAGAAGAGGAAGTATTCTGATTAACAAAGAACTGATCAACTCCATGTTTTTTTTTTTTCTGACAATCTATCTTTGCTGGAAAGTCTGCACTCTGTCCGTGCCTTGCATTGCAAAAAGACTGCAGATTTTTTAAAAAGTAACTTTCCATTTTACTAAACAGAATGTGTCCTGTATAAGCCCATGTGTGGAAGATTTTGTATCCTTAATTTGGTTTAGCTGTACATTCTTACATTCTTCTGTGAAAATTGATTACCTAACTCATGAAAACGTCAGTGTTAGGATCATGAAAGGCTTCGTTGGGATTTTAGCTCAGTCGTAGAGAACCTGGGCTTGGTCCTTAGCACCAGAAGATGTTTTAAACAATGAAAAGTGTCAGTGAGGTTGTAGGTTTGCACATCTCTGCAAGTCTGTGGCTGCCAATACATAGTGATCTTTGCTTTAGCCATCTGATAGCAAAGCCTACCCAATTAGTGTACTTTTTTTTTTTATAATAGTCACTCAATATTATTTAACATGTGAGTTTTCTTGTGTTATATGATTTTTGGTTTTCATTTAAATATTTTAAAATGTCAGGATTTATATGACTCAGAAGGCCCCTTGCTTCCTTTTTGTAACATTTTTCTTGATGAGGAGATAAAAGTAACAATAAAGGAGCATGAAAATGTGTAGATGCCCTGGAATTTGAGGAGATGGCACAAGTCCAGTGTTTCCTTCTATCCTGCAACATGCCATGACTTCCCATATTCTGATTCCACATGGCTTTCAACAGACATTATAGGACCTCAGGAATCCGTATCTGGGTGGGACACAGAGGATGATGCAGACGAGCGGTATTCTTCCAACACCACAAAATTAGCTTCTTAAAAGTATGTAAAACTTTGTGTTAAAATAAGGTAAATTGACACATGGCTTTTGGCCTCTGGCCTTAATTTAGAGGGAAAAAGGCAGCAACCAGTCCTTGCTCATTGTGCTGATTAGATTGTTTATTTAGCCAGCTCTATTTTTTTTTTTTTTAATCATGACATGCTTGGCAAATTCTTTAGGTTTAAGTCCCAAGTTTTCTTTTAATTTTTTGAGTTCAAAATCATGGAGAATCCTGATAGTCATTGACTTTTCTCATACAACTCTCCATAACATCTGTTGGAGCATCAGATATCATCCAGGCCAACGAAAGTATGAGCAGAAACGCAATGTGTCCCGTAATTATGATGAGTGCCATCTTGGGAGCAAGGACATGCCGGAATTGCATATTATGAATGTGTTTATTCTCATCTCCAGAAGGATTTGTGTAATCTGTGTACCGGCAAGTGGTGAAGTCTCACTTATCCAGAGGTGTAGTGTGGTTTGGAAAATCAACTATCAAGAATATTGACAAGCTGTTATTGACACATCCATTCAAAAGCTGTGTGGTATTTGTTGAGCAGGCGTAGTAATAAATGGGATGATATCTGATGTAAATGCAGTAGTAAAAGCATTAGTTGCAATATAATGGACAACCATTCCAGAAAGATGTCTTGCCAAATACCTGTGCTATGAACTTTAGCAGCCACAAGTTTCCTGTAACAAATAGCAAGTTTCCAGGCTTCTACTTTAGATCTTCACAGCATTAATTAAGAGAGCAAAAAGAGGAGCCAAAGGAAAAGAGCCGCAAATAGTGTGACAAATCCAAACTGTTTTCTAAGTACTCACAGAATAACCCAAGTTGTCCAGAACTTTCGAGGTAGTGATTCTGCTTTCAGTGACTATAGTTTCTGAACATTGGTCTGAGACTTTTGACATGTTTGCCAATTAAAAACCAAGAGATAAACAGCTTCCTTAATGTTTGTGAAAGTCTGTGTCCCAGTCATAATGGCCAACTGGATTGTTGTTCTGTTAAACAGCCTCCAGGATCACACTCTCCTCCACACATTAAATAAATGTGCATTTTCCAGGATAGCCTATAACTTTTCCTTTTAAAGAAAGCTACATAGAAGCAGGACAAGTAAAATTTTATAAAGTGAAACAGGAACATTTTCAAAATAAGACAGCTCTCATAGTTCTGGTAAGTTGAAGTTCCATTTTTATAACCAACACAGCTGTCTTTTCAAAAAAGAAATTCAAGATCAAGCTGACGGTAAAGTTTAAGCATGATCCTGTGAGTGATATGGCTTAAGTGGGAAGTGAAAATCCTTTGGATCTCCTTAAAGGTGCTTCACTTTCCATGAAGCAAATGTAGCAAAGACTGACAGGCAGTACATGACTATAGCCACCGTACTGGTGACAAGCCATCCATGACATCACTGTGAATCCTGCTAAGAAGTACCATGAATATGGCTACATGTCAGCATGTAAGGTTCCGTGTCCTTGGTCACTGCACTCCTCCTCCTGTGTTTACACAGGGCTTCAAACTGGTTTCAGCTGCTGCTCCTGCTGTTGCTTTGTCTGCCAGATTATATCTTTATCCTGGTCTAGCTTGTTACTTTTTCCAAAACTTGAAAAACAACCTTACTACCACACAGCTTTGAGTTTGTTGGCAAATTGTAAGATTTCTTGAGCCTTTGTTCTCTTTTTGAATCTAGACTGATTTCCCAAATACCCATGAATATTGAAAGGATACTGTTGATTCATCATCAGGTAAACGGGACAGCTTTGAAGCCAAACAGGTAGTATTTAGTCTCCAGCAGTTATGCACTTAATCACAGTGGACGCGTGCTCATCTGACCTTTAATGTTAAGGTCACAGATTTCAGTGCTTGGGTTACTGTTGAAAATAAGCCATGAATAAATACAGCTACACTAAACAAGTCTTCAGTGAGTAGCATTTCTATGTAAAATCCAAGAAAGACAAAATAGCAATTTTTTCTCTATTAATAATCCCTAATCAAATCCAAAAGCTGCTCCTTATAAAAATAAGAAAACAGCCCAGTTGATGTGAAATACGTACCTTTCATTGACAGGGATGGGAGGTTCTTGTGGCTCCCAGCATTTGGCCTTGGTGAAGCAGCTGGTGCCCTGTTCTGTGAAGCCCTCCTCCCAGCCTCAGGTCAGATCTGAGTGGCTCATGTGGTCTGAGTTGACAGGCTTGCTGGTGTATGGGTGTACCCAGGCTGTGCAGCACATCAGGTATCTGAGCAGTCTCAGTCCTTGCATGGTCCCACTGGCTCCAGGCAGAAGCAGCATGGTGGAAGGAACTGGTGGAGGAAAGTATCTCATGACATGGTATCCAGGAAACAGAGGCTTACCTAGTGTGTTTTGATATAGGGTAGTTCAGCACATAGCAAAATAACCCTGTAGGTTTGTGATGTAAATTAAATTTGAAGTGTCAGTTTTATTTTGTATTTCCTTCCATTTGGGAGGTTTGTTAGACCATTAAGGTTATATTAAAGTACTGTGTGTGTGCTACTTAATTTTGGTTGATGTAAAGAAATCTAGATGTAATTATGGCTTTTAATTCATGAAACTGTCAATACTTAATATTTATGGTCACTCCTGTTTCTCCTATTGTATATGTAAGCAGGTTTAGTCACAGGTTCTCTTTGCATTTATAATTTATTATTTGTAAAGATGCCTTGAAATATTAAATACCAAAATGCATCTGAAACCATTAAGCAATGCTTTTATTTCAGATCTGTAAGTGATTATATTTAAATCCAAATTGGAATGAAATAGCAGTAATGGCCTAAGACCATACAAATTCAGTCTAACAAGCTTTGTATACTGTACATTACTTCATTGTAACCCTTTAAAAATAATACTAGAATTTTCAGCAATCTCATTCATTGTGCTACTGTGATGTAGATCACTGACATTTGTAAGACTATTTTAAAATGTTCAAATAGGAAAAACAATTGAAAATGATACATGTATATTCATATAAATATAAGTAAAGTTATGTTTCTGTTAAATTTTTGGACTTTTTTATTTCAATTATGAAGTTTTGGGTGAAGTTACCATTAATAATAAAAAGAGCAAAGTAGACATAACCCATGGTAAGCAGACTCTGGTTTGCCTAATGCCAGTTTTCCATTTCAGTATATAACCTAAAAATTACAGAAATATTTTTTGGGCCCTAAAATGTAGAGGAAATGAAAATTGAGTAAGAATGAAGGCTATCTGACAGTAGAATCTAGCTAAGTGAAACTCAACTATAAGCCTCAAGAGGAAGTAGGACAGAAAATGGGCCAGGCAGCCTGGAAGCCCCCAAGTACTGCTGCCATTGCTCTGTGGCCCAGATCTGTTGCCATTGGTTTTTCACAGCTCGAGCCAGTAGTAAGGAGCACTGTGTGAAAATGTGATCTGTGCTTATTCCACACTGTGTTTCCACTTTTTAAACCACTCTAGCTCTATCCCTTCAGAGTCTGTATCAGTTGTGTTGTTTTCACATTTGCATTTGCTAGAAGCTGTGTTTTAGTGAAGTGGTTTGAGCACCGCAGGATGTGGCTTTTTAAATTTGTGGAAAACTTTTAAAATAGTAGCAACTGAAATTTGTCATTTTCTATTAACCAGAGACTGATCTTTCTGGATCAGTGGGGAGAAAATACCAAATTTCCAACTTTGTCCTCAGTATTACATACATCTTATGGAATAATTGAGAATAATTTAAAATTCAGCTGTGAAAAAGTTTCATTTCCATGTGTAGTCCTTACTGAGATAGTAGCTTTTTAAACCTTAAGATGTAAAGTGACAAGTTTTCTGTGTGGTTTTCTTTTTGTTAAAAAAGCATGGTAACCTGTATTTTATGTTGGGGTTTAAAAAAAATGCTAAGCCTTTCATTTTATTGGTGAGAACTACACCTGAATAAAAAGCATGTATCTTTTCTTTGCTTATTTTCTCCCATACCCCTGAGGTGTCACAGTGTGTGACAGCAGCAATAGCTATTGTGCTACCATGGCTCTGGGTTCCAGTCTCACTTTCGCTCACTGCCTCTCCTGGCCTTGTGCTGGAGTTGAGCAGCATAGGCTGTGCAGGCCTCCACTCGATCTGTCTGCAGATGCTTGTGTTTGCCCCTCTTTTTCTGAAGTGTCCTTCCCCAGAATTGCACAAGGCTGGTTTGTCTGGTTCTCATTTCCAGAGAAGCTTCTAGATTAAGGGAGATGCCCCTCCAGTACACACATTCTGTCTTTGCTCTTTGGTTTTCATCTCATTCTGAGTGGTCCTCACTTATTTCCTTGTTATTTGTAAACTTAGTGAGAGAT